ACCTTTTTCCTATAATCGCAAAGACATGGGTGTTTGAATTTTTGGCTAACGCAGACCAACTCCAACTACTTAATTTTGCGGACTCGCAGATAGGTGTGAATGAAAAAATTGAAGACGACGTCGATAATCATATTAACTTTGACTGCTTGTCCGTGTGTATGCGCAAATAGGGAACCCAGCAAACTGAAGTAAATAAGAAGTGTTAAGGTATGAAGTAGATCAATCGAGAACCTGCTAATAAGTTAAAAAATTCCAAAAATGAACCCAGAAAATAGTGCCAGACAAATTGTTCAGCTCTTTTTATCGTCCAGCACATTTCAGGTTGACTTTAAACATGTATTACAGCAACTTTCATTGCGGCTGTGTGTTTGCTTGCTCGGAAAGGGTGCAATTATTTTGAAGGAATACAGTGATGTGGGCATTTTATTTATGTTCCAAAAGTCTTATGTGAACCAAGTACATAGGTGATTAATATTTTAGTCTCCTCTTCCTCCTCCATAATTGTCCCTTTCTAAGACGTTTTTCTGTGCCCGTCGGTATAATATCTACTGGTTACGAGAGAGTGGTCTGATATGGTTGTTTCTAAATTTAAAACCAGGCAATTTATAAATGTAAGGATCGTTATGGTCGGTTTCTACTGCAGACTTAACATTTTGATCATTGATGCTGATCTTCGGGATCTAAATGCTATTCCTACATCAGACAGCTTGAGCGATTTGCATGTAACTGGGCTTTCGTTGGGGTGATAATGTTTGAACCTGGAGTTAACCACCCTCTGGATGGTACTATCTTGGGTTACTGACTTCCTTTACCATGTGAGGAGTTACGCTGGCTTTCGGTAGAAGTTAGTTAACTCGATGAGTCCTGGTAGAACCTTCATTCACATCAACGATTAAGTTTGCTGGCGGAATCGTTCTGCAGTTGATAACTCACGCTTCTGCCATCATGCAGTGAACACTGTTGCCAGTTTCCTCGTTCTAAACTGGTCCTTGTTGGGGACTTAAACATGTGATTTGTCCGTAAATACTCAAAAAGTAACGCTTTCACTCTGTTCGCCACCTTTGTTCCCCATAACTCGGATCATGACAAAGTATTTTGGCAAATTACACACTAACGCTGGAAGGTAGATACTGCGTTTGTGTGTGCTGCATGCTCTGGGGCGGCAGTAAAGATGATTTCGAGCAGTTTTACTTGTCGGACAGTGTATGAAACAGGAAGACATTGTGGGCACCAGTAACTCTGTTCACAGTTATGTTAGTGGTTACAAAAATCTATCTTTAAAATATGCATAGGACCAGGTGTTTTCTTTCAACGTACAGATAAAAGTCTGAAACCAAAATTCTCCATTGAAGTATTACATTAAGATAGGAACCTAATTTTCTATAAAACGAACATGAGGTTTGTAAATTTGTTCTGCTAGATGTGATTTAGTTCAGACAGCCACTGAAAATTAACGGCAAATTTGTCCGCTAATTGAATAATTATACCCACCTGAGAGGCGGATAAAAAGAAACCGGAATATTAGAATCAAAATGTCTTATGACGCAATGTAGCAATTGACATGTGACCGTGTCCCTGACTTTAATAAAATGATATTTTAAGGCTTCTCGAAAATCTCACGTGTCTCAATACATAGCGTACAGGTTATATTATTTGCTACATTCCCAGCCTGAGCTCTAGAAAAAAGATCGGAATCCTGTGAACCTAGGCGGTTCAGCCCAAACAACCAACCTGCGGGGTTCTCTGTTACGCATTTTCACACGTTCATTGGCATCAGCTCAAGCTGGGAGTTTTTTGGTCGTATACCTAGTGAGCACTTATAAACTTGAGCCAATGGGGTGCAAGGAACAGCTCATAAAGGCGCTAAAAT